TATAGAACTAGATCCCTGGGGGCTCTCTTTTAACTTGGGTTTTGTTTGTGTTTTATCTATCATCTATCTATCTATCTATCTATCTATCTATCTATCTATCTATCTATCTATCTACCTATCTATCTATCTACCTATCTATTTATTTAGTTTTGAGACAGGGTTTCTCTGTGTAACAGCTCTGGCTGTCCTGGAACTTGCTCTGTAGACCAGGCTGGTCTTGAACTCCCAGAGATTCACCTGCCTCTGCCTCTCGAGTTCTAAGATTAAAGGCGTGTGCCACCATTGTCCATCTTGTTTTTGGGTTCTTAATCCCTCCCAGTCTCAGAAACCCTGGATCCAAATGGGAAAGATGGGACAGAGAGGATCCTACAACAAGGTGAATGTTATACCTCTGTGTCCAGGGGAGACAGGCAGCAACAAGCAGGCCTTTTAGGTGGGAGAAGGGAGCAGTTCCTGCCACCATCCTTCTACAGTCACATGGGAAAACAAGTGACTTTTCATCTGCCATCAAGGAATCCCAGGCTGGCCCATGGCATTGCCCAGAGCTGCTTTGCAACTGCTCCCCTTTAATGTATCCTTGACTTAGGAGACCCGGGCTTACCTTCTGCAACTCCCAGAATACCAGGCTGCCATCACTTTGTGTTTACTGGGTTTCTGCTTCAGGTTTTCTCTGGTAGGGCAACTTTCCTACTAGTGGGTTAATTTTTTTTCTCTGTGATTATTTTCTTTCTCATGCTTCCCTTCAGTTCTTTCATGAAAGTTTCATACGAAAGTTCTAGCAAGGGAGATGAATTAGGAATAAGCCAAGGAATAGAGATGAGCAGGGAACTAGGCCATTCCACTGGGCAGGACAACTGGAGGAGTCAGGCAGAAGGTGCCATGGCAACACGGGTGATATGAGGGCCTCAGGAGAGAGTCAGGCAGAAGGTGCCATGGCAACACAGGTGATATCAGGGCCTCGTGCAGGGGGGCAGCAGACAAAGGCTTAACTTCAAACTAGATTTGGTAAAATCCTTCTCTTAGTTAGTCACATTGATTCTTTGTGAAGTCTTCAAAAGAGGGATGGACAATTTCTATCACCACTTTTATCTTTAGGGACAATCCCAAGCATGGTGAAGTCCTTGTTTTCACCTTCAGTTTGGTGCAGAGATGAAGGAAAAATTGAGTATCCAGACTAATTTACTAGAATAGTGATAGTAATCATAGCTGTCATCCATGTTTCTCACATCTGTCATGTCCGATGACTTATAACCAGTTGCTTTTCTTTATGCTATTGAGCACTCTATGGATAGCCTTTTCCCCTTCTCTTCTCTTTCCCACCCATTGCCTATGCATGTTAAGTATTGTATATGTTTATCAAAAGGCAGCCACCTAGGCTGGGGATGTAGCCTGGCAGCAGAGTATTAGACTCCCATAGTCAAGGTTCTGGGTTTTACCTCTAGTGTCAGCTACCTAGGGAGTTCTTTGCAATTTTCCTATCCCTACTCCTATTACTACTGTCTCTCAAGATGACACCACTGAGTCATACGATTCTACTACCATAAACTCTTTCCCCTTGGATTTGGGCTGGTCCTATGACTTGTTTCAACCCACTGCATATTGCAGAAGTGACTGTGACTTCAGATGTTACTGAGAAGAACCTGGGCCTCCTAAAATGTTAGTTCTAGCTGCTTTAGAAGTCTGATGATTGTGAGGGCTCCACACAACGGTGGGAAGCCGAAACTTAACATGTGGAAAGAAAAGCCCATTCTCCAGCTGGGATGACTAAGATAGTGGGGGGCCCAAAGATGGCGTCCAGCCCAACCAAGCTTTCAGATGACTTCAGCCCTGGTTGCCATCTGACAGGCGAGTGTGTGTGTGTGTGTGTGTGTGTGTGTGTGTGTGTGTGTGTGTATGGAATGATGTAGGTGGGCTTTCTGTCTATGTGTTATTTTCATTGGTTAATAAAGAGACTGCCTTGGACCTCTGATAGAACAGAAAATTAGGTAGGTGGAGTAAACAGAACAGGATGCTGGGAAGAGGGCAATGAGGCACGCGCCTTGGAGCCAGCCACCAGGTCAGACATGCTGAATCTTTCCCGGTAAGCCACACCTCGTGGTGCTACACAGATTATTAGAAATGGGTTAATCAAGATGTGAGAGTTAGCCAGTAACTAACTCTCTAGAGATAATGGGCCAGGCAGTGTCTAAATGAATGCAATTTGTGTGTTGTTACCTCTGGGGCTAAGCTAGCCATGCGGGAGCCGGACGGGACGAAAAGCAGGCCTGCCCGCAGCCCCTCACACTACAATGGAGAGAGAGAGAGAGAGAGAGAGAGAGAGAGAGAGAGAGAGAACAATCATCCAAGCCCAGGCAACCCACAGAATCAGAAGACAGCTTCCATAGTCTGCTAACCGTGGATGTGTCTACTCTCAGCACTCACAAAGCTGAGGCATAAGACCTGTGAGTTTAAGGTTAGCCTGAGTCACAAAGAGAAACTATAACACACACACACACACACACACACACACACACACACACACTTTATCGTCATGATTTTTTATATAGTAATAGATACCTACAACACCCACCATTGCAGACAGTTTAACCATAACAATAGGAAGTCATTCTCCACATCTGTCTGTGAGTTCTCTTTGAGTATAAGTGACTTTCCTCTTTGCGTATGAAAAATTGGTTACCAATGGCCACGAAGAGTTAGGATCCCTAGAGAGTTTTAGAAACACGTGCATTAGAGAAACACCCACCTTCCCCACCTCCCTGACTCTTGTCAGTGCTAGTCCATGTGCTGGACATTACACCCCTGCCGAGTGCACACAGTTCATTGGCCCAAGAGACACAAGTGTAACACGCCCAGGATAGATTTCCCTGAAGTGAGGGCAGTAATGAGAATAGCTGGGGACTGTTGGCAGGACATCTGGCCTCTTTCTCTGGCTCAGCACCGGATCTCACCAAAGGATTTTCCTAAGATCTGATCAAGGCATTTCTCTTTCCACCATCATTTTCACTTTTTTTCTCAAGATACTGTAGTGTCCTTCTATCCTTGAAAAAAAAATCCAGAAACTCACACCCCCTCCAATTTAATGAGACAACAATTATGTTTTTTTTTTTTCAAAAGGAATATTTACTAGGAAACTAAAGGGCAACCAAACAAAACACAAGAGAACGGAGGCAGAGTTGTAAATGAGCTGAGGGAATTCAAATCGATAGCCAGCTTCTGACCACAGCTGTACTGGCTACTAGGTAAAGCTATCCACACACAAGCCATCTGTTCACCACGTGGGCAGTCTTCTTTGCCTGAATGCCCCTGCAAAGCTATCTTTGAGCCAGTAGCTTATTCACTGTACTGAGGGCTGCTAGCTCAAGGTAAGGAGCTCCTGAGCTGGGAACAACTGGATACCTCAGGGTCTCAACCTGAGCTCCCATTGCCAAGGACATGTCAAAGCTTCACAAGATGGCTACCTGATAATCTTTTGCTGGAGTCGTTCTAGTTTCTTTGGGACCACTCTTCTAGGCACACCTGCCTGGATCTAGTGACACCATTTCTGTTCACTATCCCTGTTGGCATTCGCCCTTCATGCTTTGGTTCTAAACATCTGTATGATGATGAGGATGTCTGAATGGGAAGGGAGTGGGTAGAGAGGACCCATGGGGAAAGAAAAATGTGGTTTTTTTTTCTCATTTGATCAGACATAGGCAGAATTGGGGTTCCCTTGGAACCCCTGCAAATGGAAGATGGAAAGAGATGAGAGTGGATCAGGCAGGCTGGGGAATGCACTAAGCTTGAGTGAATTAACACCGCCTTGCACAACCAAAGGCCTCTGCCCTTTCAAGACCTGATACTGGCAGTAGGATTTCTTCTATGAGGTGTGTATGGCAACCAGAACTTTCCGACAACATGTGATGGTGCATCTATCCAGTACAACCTATGCTGAAATGTGAGCTGAAATGATGAGAAGGCTTCATCCAGGATGGCTAACTGCAGCCCAACTCTGGATTCTGCGCGGAGATGGTGAAGGGGGGTGCGGTCATGGAGCAGTGATGTAGGTGTGTGGGGGAGATGCTCTGTACCCACAACGAGAGAGGACCTCTGGGTGACGGCTCCTGGTCCATCCAGGGTATGCTGAGGCCTTTGGTTTCATTTCATGGAGGGAGAAGCAAGGAGGATGAGGTGCAGAACCGGGCAGTAGACTGCTCGAGACGGATGCTGGGCAGTGGAGGAGCTACCCTGGGGAGAGCCCTTGGCCTTGGTTCTTGTAGGTATTTCCATTCCCCAAGTGCTGCAAAAGTGATATGTGTCTGAAACTGGAAAGAGCGTCTGTCTGTGAATGCCCAAGTTTAGACACTGGGCTGCTGCACACAGAAATACCCAGAAGGCAGTCATGTCAAGAAAGCCCCAAAGCTATGTCTTTTCTTAGTGGATCCTGTGTCATCTCTCAGCAATCTTATCTCATAGCACACACTCCTGTGCTCAGGAAAGAATATTCCAGAATGCATATGCCATTGACAGGCATGATTCTCTAATAAGGATGACACGTTTCATTCTAGTAACGCCACACTGCTGGGAACAAAGTGGCGGTTGGCTACCTGGAAATAGTATTCTGGAATCCCAGAACTGGGTTTAGCAGTGAAGAATGGCCATAGCCAAGTGAGACTCTGCCATGTGCATGGGAGGGGACAGTGAGTTTGCTATGAATCATGTGCCTTACAGGAGACCTCCTCCAGGCTTGCCTGGCTAGTATTCTCTTGGGCCGTTCCTTGGAAAATGGGAGCACTTTTGGGGATAGACTTGTTCTCTGAAGACAGTCATTAGCTCACAGGTAGTAGAATTTGAATTGAAATCTTCAGCCTATTTAGCACCTGGATATATTTTTAAAAAATATCCTGTCCTTCCAGGGCATTCAGTCAAGTGACTTTCTGTTAGACTGACCGCTACCAGGACCGACCTAGTGCCCACAACCCAAAGGCCTCACAGCAGTCACTAAGAGCCTTGGCACTCAGGACTTTCACTATGCCACTTGCTTTCTTCTTGAGTCCAATTTGGTTTTTGACAGACAGTGAGGGATGAGCTTCCCTAGAGCACATCAGCTTGGGTCACCTAAAGCAGGTGGATGGACCATTCAGATTCACCAAATCCCATTTGGAAGGAGGGCCAGTTATTGCTGCGGTTACAGCTGAGTATTTCATCACTGGACTCATCTGGGTGTCGCTAGGTGGGAAAAGTTACTTAAGATCTTTGTTACATAGTTGTCCAACTGTGTCCTTGGCACAAGCAGTCTTCTTATCCCCAGTCATCGTTTCTGTAGGAAGAAGAAACAAAGAGCGATTGGTTTTTCACTTGTACATTTCTAATGTGTACCAAACAAAGCCCAGGCACTGTGACAGATGCCAGGAACACAAAGACCAGGTTTCAAAGGACACATAAAGGGATAAGTGAACCATAGAGGTGTACACAGACTTCTAAAGAAGCCTTTGAGGTGACTGAGGGAATTTTGAAGTTCAAGTATCACTTAGGCTGAAGATGGGCCAGAAGAGAGAGCCTCATGCAGAGGCAGGAGAAGGGAGTGGAGCCGTGGAAGGATTATCAGAACTGAGGCGAAGGAACCGTATTGTGAGGAGCCAAGCAGCAGCAAGTATTACTGAGCTGGATGAAGGGGATTTAGTGATGAAATATCATAACACTCAACCCTTGTTGAAACCCTTGTTTCCCATCTGTAAAAGGTACACGTATGAATGTACATGCATGTGTGTTTTGCTGGGGATAGAGCCCAGGTCCCTGTGCTGGACAAGTGTTTTATCATTAAGATATATCCCCAGTCCTGCAAAGTGAACTTTCTTAGTAGAACCTCAGACTTAGATAAGCAGCTTCTCTTGTGTTGCTCACTCAAGCTAGTATTCAACTGAAATTCAACTCATGGTGTCACCACTAAATATAGATAAATATAATAATATAGGGTATTAATATGGCAGACATATAGTGAGGAAAGAAAAGTGATTTCCGTGAATACACTAACAAAATTTTACACACAGCCTGAGAGAACAGCGAATGTTCTCAAACTGGAATATATAGACTGCATTTCAGAAATCGAAGTTCTGCAATAAAGCTCCAATTTAAGTAAAGTAATTAAAGCCAGACGCTGGAGACAGAGAGCCACATCTGGCTTTGAAGTACGTACATGCCTGTATACACACATCCCTCAGGAAAGCTGTACTCATTTCTGAAGGTAACAGGGAAGTGCAAATAGACATTTGTCATTTGAACAAATCTTAAAAGATTGCCTTGGGCACAAAAACAAGCCAGTACAGTGGTGTTCAGATTCGTGAGTCACCTCTATACTGGGCTGGTTATGCCCTGGTCTAGAGTGTGTTCAGAGGGCTAGACATTTTCCCCCAGTCCTTCCCTGCCACCTCCCCTCTCCCCTAGATCTGCATCCCCTCTTCTTCCCCCCACCCCCAAAAAGAACAAGGTCTAGGGACATCAACCAAATGTGCTATCATAAGACCACACACCACCATACCAAGGCTGGGCAAGACAACTCAGGAAGAGGAAGAGTCCCACAAGCAAGCAGAAGAGTCAAGAGTCAGATTCCCGCACAGCTCCCACTGCCAGGCATCCCACAAGAACACCGAGCCATTCAGACACACATATATGCAGAGGACCTAGGTCAGACACCTACAGGCTCCCTGGTCTCTGTGAACCCCTATGTGTCTTGGTTAATTGATTCTGTGGGCCATGTTTTTGTGGTGTCCCTAACCCCTCTGGTTCCTCCAATCTTTCCTTCCCCTCCTCTGAGGACTTCCTGGGCTCCTAGTAATGTTTGCGGTGGGTGGGTCTATGTATCTGTTCTCATCAGCTGCTGAATGAAGTATCTCTGGTCTCTTTGATGAGGATTCTGCTAGGCTCTGGTCCCAGAGTCATCTTCAGATAGAACAAACTGTAGGTCATAGGTTTTTGTGGCTAGGTTGGTGTCCCAATCCCTCCACTTGAAGCCTAGCCTGGTTACAGAAGATGCCCAGTTCAGACTCTGTGTCCCCATTATTAGAAGCCTTTTCTAGGGTCATTCTCACAGATTCCATTAGGCCTAGACTTTTAAAACTATTCCCCATATCCAGGGAAACAAATAGCAGAGGGCAGTCTGCCAGTGACCCAAGTAATAGCAAAACTCCAACTGGATGTTGCAGCTGCAGTGTGCTCATTTGGTCTCTCTCTCTCTCTCTCTCTCTCTCTCTCTCTCTGAGTGTGTGTGTGTGTGTGTGTGTGTGTGTGTGTGTGTGTGTGTGTATGACTACCAGTCTCTGGCATAGCTTCAGGGAGTGCTATGGAGTGGTCTGCTAGTTTTTCCTGCTTCAGATTAAACCCTCCTGCTCAACCACCAAGCCTATCAGGGTCTAATGTCCTTTGTTTTTCCTCCCTTGGATACTGCCACTAGGTCCCAAAACACATGTGGCAAGGGACCAAGCCCACAAGCTGACAGGAGAGAGGAATTCGGATATATCTGAAGGAATTGCTGGTCATCTCTAACAATAGTCTTACAAGGGAAAACTTCACCCATTCCAGGAAAGTCAGATGTCCAGGTTATGTCTGAAAAAAATGTAGTTTGGTTGTCTCAGGAGAATTTTGAGTTTGACATGGATGGCTTATGCTACCACACAACTACCTTTTGTCTCTCATTGAGGGGAAAAAGAGGGGCTGGAGAGATGGCTCAGCGGTCAAGAGCACTGATTGCTCTTGTAGAGGACCTGGGCTCAATTCCTGGCAACCACATGGCAGCTGGCAACTCTCTGTAACTCCAGTTCCAGGGTACTCGACACCCTCACATAGACATATATGCAGGTAAAACACCATGCACATAAAATAAAAATAAGTAAGTAAATAATATTAAGAAAGAAAGAAAACACTGATACAGTCCCATCAAACAAAACAAAGTAAATATATTGCAACATCTTTTTAACTTATATCATCCAATGAGTTGCTTCTTATATAATCTTTTCATAAAAAGATCTTAGGGGAAGCTTTCTCTAGCTCAGAATAGCACTGACCTAGTGGGGTGTGGTAGAGATAAGAGAATAGAGACAGAAATGGTGGTTGAAGCACCGTGTGTCCAATCTTGCCCTTGCTGGTTCTAGTGCTACCACCTTGAGCACAGCATCTCTCTCCCTGCTAGCAAACCCAAGGGCCTTCCAGGATATGTCATGGGTTTGAAAGGCTTCAGAAAATTCAGCAGCATGACAGGAAGTGGTGGTTACAATCCTATCTGACCAGAAAGGTTTCTAAATGAATTCAATTGTCCCGAGACATAAGAACTTGATTGGAATTAAATTGAATTGAAATCAAAGATGAGAACTGTCCCATTGAAAACCATAATGTGCAATGACACTTCAATCACAAAAATGACAGCTGATGTGAGACAGGGCACTTAGACTGACCCCAAATTAAGAACACAGAGGAACTGAGTGGAGCATTCGATCGTATCTGCCTGTGAATTTGAAAATGGGCTCTGATTACAGGAAGTTTCTATATAGGGATTTTGAACTAAGGAAGTCTGTCGAAAATGGAAGTGATTCTTATTGTCTGTTACATGTACTTAATATTGTTACTTTTGTATTTAAAATGTTTTAATCTAAAAAGTGCAAAATCCTCTCCATTTTGTTGGCTACTGTTTAGGACAGCTTTACAAATATTTATATATAAAAAACCACTACATACCCTTCTCATCTAGAATCAGGTGAGCACCTCCTTCCTCAAAGATGACATTCTTTTTTTTTTCTTTTTTATTGTTGTTTTCCCCTAGTGGAGCTTGCATGTTAAAGAAATCAGACAGTGTGTGGTAACTCATGGATGGTGAGGCCACGTGCCCTAAAGTAGGACCTACTGCTATTGTGGTAGCTAAATAGAAACAGCATCCAAGTGACTTCTAAACACCTACTGTATACCGTGGTGCACCTCTGAGCCCTCATCAGATGAGCTTCTTTTATAGCTGCCTTGGCTTATACAGAGGCTACAACTAGTCAGAGTGCAGAGAAGAGGTGACCTTGGGACTCAGTACTAAATGTGATCTCTCCATCACCCCCTTCATTTGGGAACACGATGGGAGAAAGCTGGGAAGAATGCAAGGCAGAGGTTTGGGAGGAGTGTTGTGAAGCGTTGTCTCTGGGACACGGCATGGCTGAAGAACCTGAGAACTCTCTGCAGCTGGACTACCTTCATAAGAACTGCACAGCTGGCAACACGCCATCATGGAAGAGGGACTCAGGAGGTATCGGTGGCCAGGGGAAGAGGAGCCGCTTCCTTTTGTGGTGTAACCAGTGATAAGTTGCCCATGCTTCAGTAAATAACCTCCTGCCCATGCCCAGGCAACCTAATTAAACTTAGTGGGTCGCACATATCACATGCAAGAAAGTAGGAGGGGGTGCATTGGGAAGAAGGGTCTTAAGAGGAGGAGAGAAGATGAAATGGGATCATAGGGGCTAAAAAAGACTATAATTTGTTATGTAAGTGTATGAACTGTAGAGGAAGAAAACTAAAATAAACAACCAAAGAAATAAAGCAGTATAAATGGACTATTTTCCTATCAGGAGCTTGGGGTAACAACTTAGAAAATGGAAATGTCCATTTAGGTAAAGAGTACTCTGTTAAGTACCTGGGCTCCATCTTAAGGTCTTCGTATACCTTATCTCACTTAATCCTTTTTGTCAGATGGACAATCACATTTTTCCTCTGGAGGGGTTAAGGGATTTGCCAAAGGTAGGAAAGAGCAGAGTCAGACTCTGCCATCACACCCTCATGGATCTACACAGAACTCTGGAGACACACACTAGGCTTGATATGTCACTACAGAACTTTTCTATAAAAATGGTCTCAGGAGACTGGAGGCATGGCTCAGCGGTTAAGAGTGTGTAGAGTCTGGTCCTGAGCATCCATGTCAGGTGACTCACAACTGTAAGTCCAGCGGAATCCAATACCCTCTTTTGGTTTCCACAGGCACCTTCTCTCACATGCACATAATAATAAATAAATAAATCCTTAAAAGAGGCTCATTCTGGAATTGTTCAGATGTCACAAGAAAGTGAGTCAAGTCCATTGTCAAGTTGGCCGTGAGGGGAAAGGATGTAGAAAGTAATGTGTGTGTGTGTGTGTGTGTGTGTGTGTGTGTGTGTGTGTATGACACGTGTATGTTGTTCACAGAGGAAAACTCATTAACTACACACTGAGATGAGGCTCCAGTAGCAATGCCATTCAAAAGATAAATATCATACTTTTTCAAATGAGGTAGCACAGTAGAAAATTTCTGAAAGGCAG